GCCGGGCTTTTATTAATTCGCTCCAGAACATTTGTTATCGTCCCGTTCGAACAAGTACAACCGATAAACGACAAAGTTCATCGATTGTAGGGCACGAGTTATCTGGCGATTACACGCCTCCGTTCTAGTCTCGACCTCATCTCGATCGCCGTCAAGATTCTTCAACGATCGCGAGCCTCTCCGCAAGGTGCATTCACGATCAAAGAAAAATTATAAAAATATAATGAAAAAGACAATCGATGTGACTGCGTCAATGGCCCGATTGGGTATCAATGGTTGATCGATGTCACGCGAAACTAATGCATGCGTTACTAATTAACCGCGACAAGATGCAAGGCAACGCGTTTTTATTAACGGAAAGGTTGTTTGGGCGTGACGCGCCTAGATTCGCTCGATTTTCGGTGGCCTTCCATCTCAGGGTCGATTATCACGCAATGATTATTACGCCAAATGACGCCAATTTGCTGGACGATGTATCGTTCGTAGCTCTTTAACAGTTTAAATACTACTCGAGCCACGGTTTGTAGAGCATTGTCCTTCGTGCAGCTCCATAAATTGGTGAAGATCCTCCTCTCCCATTTCTCTTCCAAGAAAGAAGCGTGAAATTCCAGGATCCGTAAAAAGAACGGAAGGAATGTTAAATAGGGATCGTACGTCCGAAAGTAAAGCGTTTTCTTGGTGCTTAGAAACGCTTCCCCCTCGTTCGACGAAAGGAATGCGTGTAAAAAAAGAGAGGGTATCGAAATGTGGACGGGAATGCTGGCGCGAATGAGAGCCAATGACGGTTTATTATACAAAGCCACCAACTGACGGTATTAGCCACTCTCGCGTAAAAATATTCAACATTACTGAGGGTATCGTATAACTGGGACCAAGGGAACTAGTTTGTTACGGTAAAAGATTCTTGGCAGCTCGTTGCACGCGATAGTGCCACTGCGTGGATCTCTCCAGGCCTTCGCAGCCGGTGGATCTCGATACGTGAAATAAGTAAAATCAGAGCACGACGAGCTTGTGATTTCACTTAATACGGTGTATTAGCAGAGGTGATAACGTCAATCCAGTCGGCGGTTTCGCGAAGTGCCCTCGAGGTTCTCGACATTCAACGAAACGAACCTTCGAACTCGTTTTGGGACTTCAAATTTACCGCCAATTTTACGATCGACTCGAATTCTTCCTTTATACGCAGGATTCGTTTGAAATATGAATAATAAAAACTTGAAATATGGCCCAGCGTGAGAGTCGAGCGATTACAGAGCAATTTTGCGAAGATCTTGTCAGATCTGCCTAAACCGAGGAGCGTCGTTCCGTCGCGTCGAGGAACCGCGATAACACCTAATTGGGTTATCTCTAGCGTGTTACGTTACGACTCTCCGCGTTTCGATTCATCGTTTTATTTCGCGGCGACCGCGTCATTTTCCCCGGATTGGAACAATTTTCACAGCCCACCGTAACGCGAATCGAAACGGATGATGGCCTATTATTATCCATCCATTACGTCCAATTGACCATGGCGCGCGTATTTCAAAGCGGAAACGATTTCCAGGTTTCGCCTGGGAACGAAGGCTTTGAGAAACGTTTCGTCAGCGCGATTTAGCCACTTCGAGGCTGACCTTCGGGTAGCCGCGATTAGGGCACGCGACTATTAATCCCGCGACATTGAATGGCCATTCGTCATCGCGAAAACTGAAATTCCCTATCTGTATCTTGAAATAAAACAATTATTACACGTTCACTGCCAAACCAAAACCGGCCAATTTTTTCTGAGACCAAAACTTTGAATCTGAACAATTTTAAAGTACATAAATGAAAATTTATATCAGTCCTAAAATTAATTAGTCCTATTCAAATTTACTTCCTTTTACATTTCAACCTGAGAATTAATTGTTTTAGTTACATAGTAAAAAATCCTGTCACTGATCATTAACTTATAGGTAACTTGCTAGCGAATTTAAAAGGTATTTAAACGAAATTAAATATTCTTTAAATCGTTCGTCCAAGCAAACTTTATCATACAGTGTAATAATCAAGTTTGCTCGAACGATTATCTCTATTCGAGCTTGGTTCAGAGTTTAGCTCAGATTGTATTTTCATGGTACTTGGGGACGCCGAGGGTGAAAAATCGCGAGATCGTGTCATGTGAAAATGGGCCTTAATCCCCCCGGTGCATCCCGTCGCGCGTAATTAGCCACGATCCGCGAGATAATCCGGAAGAAAACCCGCCCGATGAGCCTCGTCGCGATCGCGTCGTTCTCGTCCGTTGATGGCGATGCAGCGGTGAACCTCGCCGCGGCCAAAGCGGTTTCGAATTAACCCTAGAACCGTGCACTGGTCGAACGTAAATTGTACACTGGAGTAATTTATGTCCGAATTATGCGTTTCATGCTGACGATGCGGTTAATAATCCGCTTTAAGTCTTTGATCGTTCGTTGCAACAGCTGAAGGACAAAAGTCCTCCTCGAACATTCATTTTACTTTATTTTACTGTTTCGTTGCTTGAATAATCGCACAGGCTAACCACGTGTGTTTGATTCTTATTTCACACATGAAACAACATAGTCTATCCAATAATATTTCCCTTTGCCCAATTATATTATAAAAAATAACTAAACAGCAATTTTATTCTTCATTTTTTAATTGCATTACCTTTAAATAAAACAGTGTCGACGTTGCTGGTAATTTTGTGTATTTGATGTGGAACAAAACGCGTTGCATCTCGGGAAAGGGGAGCTCAGACCCTTTTTTAATCTTGGTAGAATACGTGACCAAAGTAGCGTGGATAGGAATATTTTAGTATCACCCTACGAATAGTATTCTTATTTTTTTTTTTGTGGCTCACATGTTGTAGAACACTTCCCATTTTTTTACGTCTTTCGTGGCCCCCTAAATACAGCGTAGCCCACTAGGGGGCCATGTGGCTCCCATTGAGGATCCCTGATACATCAGATCCTGCCTTAATCGTTTGTACAGTCTCCAAGATGAATAGAATCCGATAACATAAATTATCTAACGATTTCACTTCATTTATATGTTCGTGCGTTCGATAAAAATAAATCTGATTTTAAGTTTCAAGATGGACGACGAGTTTTTGCTGCACCCTGCAGTTCTAAAATTAACAATTTACTCGGGTGATATTCCCACTGCACAATTGCAGCTATTTTTGCATTAAAATCGAACGCTCGCTATTGATAAGGCCGCGTAACAACTTTATCGCGTTGTAGCCGCCATTATCATCGTATCGTATTTTGCTAGCTTTCTTTAGACTCGGCTTTTTTAGACAACCGTGATCTTTGTACTTTCCTTGATCTCGAGGTGAAGTTTTAGCTCAATCGGATCAAAGAATTGGTAGAAATCGTTTCCACGATGTTACTATGTCCGAGAATTTTTTTCGCGTACGCACGATGCTGTAATAGGTCCGCTGCGTGCACACTGCAGCGCATTGAAATCACCGTGGATGCTATATTTAGAACGCTACAGTTTCGAAACTCCGCCGTCTTAATATTTTCATGTGTTAATATTTACAGTAATCAATGTGTTCAGTACATTATTACGTTTTTGATACTCGGTTACGTTAATATTTTTATCGTAACAAGTTTACAGTTTCGCGATTCCAAACCTATTACAGTGAAACTTACGGTGTTAATACGATTCACCAGCAGTTTATAAAGCAACAAAGCTTAAATTGTAATAAGTGGAATGAATCGAAGGCGATTTTTTAACAGCGTGGAATGGTGTGCTCAACGTCGTATAAAGCGTAACGCCGGCCACGTGATAAACATTACGCTGGTCCAAGACCCACGGCATTACGTCACTCGAATGAAAAAAGAAACTAGAGCAGAAAGTTCCTTGTTGAAACGATTTCACTACGCTCCTGTCCCCCTTCTGGCAAAGTAAAAATAGAAATGAGCTGAAAACAGCTTTATTGCCGGCCATTCCCACGTGTAGAAGTTGGGGTGTTGTCAAACTACTAACATTGGCCTCGTGGGAACTCTTGTCATGGATCTTCTCGATCGATTCCACTCTCTAATCACGATAAAATAATTTAATTCCTATCTCGCGCAAAACTGGACGCGTAAACGAACCCGTTTCGTGTATAAAGAAAATGCTTTCGCGTCTCAAGAATTATAATATACAACGAGATTTGAAAATTCATTTTTCTGGTTCCATGGGTGACATGGCGATCGAAGCACGAAGGAATTCCACCACCAGAATGAGCGGTATTTTCACGAATTTTCTACGAAATTATCCTTTTATCACGTACGAAGTATCTCGAAAATTCGAACTCTTGAAAATTATTTTTTTCAAATATCTATGTTTATCTCGAAGAACAGATAGTACGCGATAACTCAAAAACTATAAAACCGAATTTAACAAAATTTGTTACACATATTCTCAATAACATTCTCTAATGATCGACCAAAGATTTTTGGAATTACAAAGAATCGTAAAAATAATTGCAGTTTAGAAAAATGGATCCTTATGATATTTTGTTATGAATATCTCGATAATTTCAACAAAATCTCCCATCAACCCATATAGAATATTATTGAGAATATGTGTACCAGATTAGATTCGGTTGATTGAAACAAGGTTCAGGTATACCGCCATTTTCTCTCTTATAAATGAACATAGAAATTTAAAAAAAATTTTTTTCCAAATGTTCAAGACTACTGTGTACGTGGTAAATAGGTCCTATCGATCGAACGTGTACGTTCCGTGTAAAAAATTCATGAAAAGTCAAGGTGGAGTCAAGATGGAGTAACCCCCTTAAGGGTTGTTAAAAGTGCGCCAAAAGCTGTCGATCTTTCCTTTCCAATGTAAAGTAGCACAAAGGAGTGTGCATATCTGTGTTCCCCGTAAATTCCAAGCTACGCACGCGGAGGGAGCCCCAGTGATCAGAGCAAATTACTGTCTCGCGCGCGCGATATCTTTGATCGAGGGGCGATCGAAGATTGCCCGTTAGCGGTTTCGCGCTTCGCGATAGCCGATAACTCGATACTCACCCGAGCGGTGGTACTGATTGCAGAGTGTTATCCAAGTCCTGTGCGGGGCTGGCGGTATAGCGTTGTCCCGTGGTCGAGACGTCTCCGAGGACCGACAACAGCAACCACGTCGCGAAGAGCAACCCCTCGTTCGGCATCTTGTCGACACGATTCTTTCACGTTTGATCGAACGACTGTTCACCAGTGATCGCGGGGGGCGGTTGGGGGTGTCTGTGCAAAGGTATCCGTCGAAATTCGTTAGCTCGTCGCGCGATCGATGGCCGCTCGTTTCACGCGCATGATTCTCGATCGATCCCTTCAACGCTGCTTCGCGATCGACACCACGATCGGATTCTCGATCATGGTTCTTGGTCGGCCGGATCGCTGGTAATCTGACACTCGCGGAATTCTGAAACGACGGCGTATTTTTTAGAGGATCCTCGTCGCTTTTTCGACGACAATGTCGATGGAAATGAAAAACAGTTTACGCAAGACTGTAAACTCGAGGAAAATGTAATTTTATTCTTGATTAATAGAGACGTAGCTCCCCCTTTTTTTTTGTATAATTATTTAGTATTTCATTATCAGTTTTTGCTTCCTTTTACTTCGTTTCTAATTTAATATTTCATTTCGCAAGCGAGCCGAGAATTTCGCCACGTAAACCGAGCGGAGAGACAACGGGGCGATAATTGCCGCGATTCCGCGCTGACTATGACGCCTTTCCGGAAGCACCAAATTAGTACGATGAGATAGATGGAACTATCTTCTGATATAAATATCCACAATAGCTGTTTCGCTGGCGCGACGAGAGGCAGCCCGTAATTGCGAAGTTAGCTCACGAGTTGATCAGAATTTTAGAAACACGACCGGGGAAAAAACCTGCGACGAAATCAAAAATGCATATTAAACTGTTTTTTTTTTTTTGTTACACTGCCCCGCAAAGTCTTTATTAACAAGTATAAAAATTGTAATATTTGAGGAGAATATGGAGCGTCGATCGGATTATAAATAAACTTGACAAACGAACCGATCATTTATCGCAACGCAATGTCAACTGAACGCTGAGAAAAATTTGAATTTATTATTACGAATTTATGAAATTTTTCTCGTTTTCAGCTATGAAAAAGATATTGTTCCGGAGAGCCTATCGAATAAACCGGTATTCTGAGAGATCGCTGATAAATATAGAACGAAACATTCGTTTTACATTTTAGTGCTCCTGACGGAACCTCCACAGGATGCTCCAATTTAACCGAAAAATCGCCGCGCAGAAATTGCGCTTCCATTCTGCTTTCACCCATTATCAATAGCGTAAAAGCAGTACGAGCAGAGGCTATGATTAAAGTTCCATAAAGCTTGGTATGTACGCGCAAAAGTCGCGCAAAAAGAGATCAGTCTGGTTCGCACGTTCTATTACGACGAGAGTGGATCGAGTCGACGATGACGAGGATATCGGCGCGATAAACTCGATTCGAAAACGCTTGCTTCTCGCCAGCGATTAATTCCTACGTTTCCGCGGGGTGAAAATAGACAATCCGTTTCAGCGAATTCAGGTTTTCCACGGCGATTCCCGACTGTACCAACCGATTGCATATATCGAGGCCTGAAATTTTCGTCTTGAGATCTGCTTGGATTTTAATCAAAATCGGACTATCGATCGTGTAGTTTTCTTTCTTATTTGTCCGATATAATCGTGGCTCGCAAACGCCACAAAAAAAGCTTTAAATATGTGTATCTTACGGAGAATGAAATATGACATAAAAGAGTTCAGTAAGCTTTCTGCATACTTGCACAACATTAATAATGTATTGTTTTAGTCATTATTTTAATTAGCTATTAGTAGCACCATTTAATTTTAGGAATTTAATAAAAACCTGTTTCATTTTTTTATTTTCAACTTAAGGCAACGATATCATTAAACTTAAAAATTTTTTACAATTCGATGACTACAAAATGCTGACAAATAACATCTATAATATATCGATTCAAGTCTTGAAACTAGGTAAAAATGAAACGTTAGATATTTTCTATTATTGTTCATTATTTTAATACGAAATGGCAGGTCACAAATTCGAGTATATTTTTGTGTGAACTTAAATTGAGTCAACAAAACCCTCGAGACTGTTCATAATAGTAATATAGTCTTTAATAAATTTACGATTAGATAATCAACAAACTAAAATGAACTCTTTTACTGACCCAAAGAAGTGATAAATAAAGTACAGATTTTCTTCATAGTGTCATAAATATATTTATCTCTCAACAGACAAAATTAACCTATCGGATCATATATTTGTAAATAATATTTACGATCATTCCATCTCTATAATAACATAAAAAGAATTCTTTCACTGTAATATCCAGATCTCAAAAGAATATTAAATTTTCTATGCAGCTTTAAATTACCCTGGATCCTAAGAGTATTGTAAAGAAAAGAAAACCCCCCCCCCCGACAATAATATATCGTGTCTTCGCCATCACCGACGAGTCCTCGATATCATACCTGTCAACGAAACGATCAACATTACTCCACCGCCAACTACCGATATTCCACAGTGTCACCAATTACACTTCTCGCGTCCAATTAGAATTTTATCCATGTGTATTCGACAATCTCCGATCACCAGTCTGTCGACGATCGACACCCCCAAAAAACGACGTGGACCAGAGCCACCACTTGGTCGGAAAATTTTTGGGGGGGTGGGGAGAGGGGGAACTTGTCGAAAAACGTAAGAAGAGAGTCACGGGTTGGACGAGATCTCGATTATTGCTTAAAAGCGACGCATCCGCGGCACACTTGGCGCGACACGTTCTTGTAACGAGGGATAGGAAAGGAACGTGGGAACGAGTCCCGAAAAGATACGCGGACGGGACTCGACGCGAGACTGGAGCGGCAGATTGTGGACGAGCAGTTCCGACAGAGGGCTCATCCGGAGAGAAGAGGCACTCTTCCCTCGTCTTCGTGCCTACCGGCCCCACCACGCGCCCTTTCCCTCCTTTCCCTGCCCGTTTTCTCGCGACCGCGTCCAGCTGACGACCCGAGGAACACGATCAGCCGCGCCGACGATCCCCAACCCTTCTTTTTCTTCGTCGCTGTCAACGCGATGCGCGTATATGCTGTGCGCGGAGGCACGCGTGACGACGGTACAGTACCGTCCGATTGAAGAAATTTCGGCCCGGATCGATGCAAACCTCCGCGTATATCCGCGCGACACTAAACGCGAACTAAAATCTGGAACGTTTCTCGTTCTACGTTTGGAGAACGGTATTACTGGATTGCTGAGGTTTTTCCGTTGAAAATAAGTCCAAACACGACTTTATTCCGACCAATTCTATTTGTAACGTAATTGTATCGAGAATTATATAATTAAATGCAATCCAAATACAAAGAAATCACAGCCGCATGCATCCAACAGCGACGTTGCTACTAAACAGTTGACGAGTAAAGCGTAGAAACATTGTATATTTTATTTTTTTTATTAATCACACATTACCCAAGATTAGATTTATTAAAAATCGAAACCAAATTTTGAAGAAAAATCGACAGGGGGTAGGTGCCTAACTTTTTCGTCGAAAAAAAATTTCACATCGCTCCAAAAAAATTATTTTTAATTGCGGGGGTCAATTACAATCATTTTTGGTCAATAGACATACCCACGAAATCCTAACCAGTTTCGAGAAACAAATTCACAAAGTGCCTAAATTTTTCGACGAAAAAAAAAATTTCGAATCGTTCTGAAAAAATTATTTTCGGTTCCGGAGGTCAATTACAATCATTTTTGGTGAACACACATACCCCCGAAATCATACATACATTCGAGAAAAAAAATCAGCATGTTGCTGATATTTTCGGCGAAATTAAAAGATTTCGAATCAGTTTGAAAAAAATATTTTTAGATGCAGTATCTCTAAATTTGTCGATTTCTTTCTTAGACTTAGCTATAATGGAAAATACAGGAACGAATGAAAGTACATCAGTAGTTTTGTCAATTGATTCGCCTATGACTGACCACTACAGTCGAGTAACTGATTAAGAAGTGACTAACATATAATTATAATTGAAGGTTATAGGTTATAAACTAAGACCCATCACGACCAACAGTGTCAAAGCCTAAGATGCATCAAAGTGTTACAATGTAGGAAGCTTTCGCAATAATATGCAGTCCAGCGTTATCAAACGAGGCTAAAGCTTCGATTGGGAAACACCAACGACATTGGCCTCTGTGTTCTGGACCAATAATCATGTTAAGGAGCCATCACTTCCGCTCGGTTCAATTGAAAACATCTATTGTCGGATCAGAACTGCGTTATGGAACTTCGCAATTGCGGTCTCGAGGCAGTTTGAAAGAAAAAAAAAAGTGAATAACCTAAGCATTAACTTCCTTCTTGCATTTTATATCGAAGCAGCTTCTAATCAACTCAGAGAAAAGTAGAATGTATAGTATAAATGAAACGATTCAACAACGTTAGAACTAGATGTTTCTTTAAATCAGTTTTCATATCTATCAAGAACCAAACTATGTACGTCATGAATCTATTTATTCGGGTCTTGAACTTGTCACAATCCCGAAACTACTTTCCATTCGAGTTAAGATAAAGGATTTCTTATTCTTAAATGCGTTAATTCTTTACCTAAAAATACATAATTATTTACCTTGGAGTCGATGGGAAAATTATAAAAATTATAATAAAACTTGCCTGGTTAATCGTCGTTAACTTCTTCGTATGATAACTAATTAGCAAAATAATTTTTCAAGAAATCAACTGGTACTATTGCATCCATGCAACAAAAAATTTTATAATTCTTCGAACATCTTCGACGCACATCTACCGAATTCGCTGGTTTCCTGAACCATTATTCACCTGACACTCTTCAGCTTAAATATTTGATAATACAGTCGGTAACAAACGACGCATAAACAGGCCGCGACTCGTTGTTCGTACCTTTCTCACACTGTTATTAAATTCTTCATACGTTTCGCAAAAATGGAGAACCTGTAATTTTGCATTTTGTATGCTTCAGGCGACTGGTTGCATAAATAAACCATAGAGCAAAGAGACGCAAATTAAAACGTCACAGTAAATATTTAAACGCTATTTCACTGATCATACCTCTAACTAATAGACTCCAAAAAATCAATAATACTCGTCAACCTATTATGGTGTCATTTGCATACAAAATCCAACAGATTACATGCACCCTTTAGCTAACACTAATTTTCCATTCTACTACATATCTATCCCTTGAAGGACATAACACGAACGTGTATCGCATGTACAATAAATTTCATATTACCAAGACAAGTCAGATGTATAAGAAAATGATAGGTCTTCGAAATCTCTATAAAAATACAATGGTCAAAGAAACCGTTATAATGCTGCATATTACATATATTATTAACAGAAAATCTTAGTGCTTAGGGAGACAATTCTTTCTGGCAGAAGAAATGTGCATTCGTACCGAAACTGCCATAACAGTTCAATCGTGAATTCGTAACAGAGAACATCTACCAATGTCTCAGATACAAGTTTCGTAATTAGCAGAAGCAATCGACTCGTGTGTATCGGTGTGGATAAAACTAGTGAACGATTCAATATTAGAAGAATGTCTTTCGTCGGTGAGACTTACGTTTTCTTAAACTTGATCGAGTTATATTCTGACCATAAGCAAATGAATCTTTCTACATCAGTCTGACAGTTCATACATCCTTAAAGAACACATTGAAAACATCACAATTTTGTCTAATGTTCATATTATTTTTTTTATACGTCAATGACCCATATGTGCACTTACAACGCTCTGGCTATGTTTAACATGTGTAACAAATGTCCAGCTACAAACTTATACTTTGCAATATTAAAAAATAATCGAATTATGTCTAGGCCTACAACCGGTATATGTTTCGTAAGTATTTCAGGAAAACAAGAAATCTTATGCCACCTTAGGTGATCTTCCACATTACGGGCCACTTAAGAAATTTTTAGTATTCATAGGACAGTATCCACAGCAAACGGATTATACACGTGTTTCTATATATGCCCTGCATTTAGGCACCTACATATCGCTGTTGGTACCACTCGTAAGTGAAACAATATTAAACTGCATGCGTTGTCAGACGAATAGCACATTAATAACAACATCATGTTAATAAAGAAATATACACAACACGCCATGGAAGTGATAATTTTGAAATTGATTTACGTTCCGTGCGAAAGTTTATAGAACTCACCACGTCACTGCGCAACCATGACATTGACAGGGTGCTGGAGGCTCTACCAGTTATAGCTACGGATATTATTACAGTGATGAAAATATCAAACCTTAATTTCAATAGGAGAAAAGTACTTGCACTCTTTATTATAAAATAGAATGTTAACTACGAAACCATATAAAAAGTGATCAATGTTTTGCAGTTCCGAATGTTATATAACCTTGTGATAAATGAGTGGGAATCATTAAAATTGAAAGACGACGCAAAAATTTTGGACGAAATCACCAGAAATGGAACTTATATTGCATTTCTATACAGAAGTAGGTACACCTTTGTAATTTTTAACCTTTTGACTGCGGCGCGTCCTAGGGAGAATCCATCAACATAGATGGCGCGATCGTCGCACGCCTGTCGCTGCGACTGGTGAACAAAAAAGTACCCGCAGATTTAAGAGACCATTCTTACGGTTTAAAAAAATAATAAATGCAAATAAATTGAAATATCCAATTTCTATCCAATTCCATATCGAATCAATTGGTAAAACAGTAAAAGGTGTTATAGTAAAAAAAATGCAAAGGGCGTAAATTTACGCTTTTCGTATAATATTGATAGACTTGTGAAACCGTATACTATATACGCCTTTAGCAGTCAAAGGGTTAATGACAAGCACTCCCATAATGTTTCATAGAACGTTGATACACAATATCTTCCATATTAACGTCGTACCTTTTTCTGTAGCTGAAATAAATTATTGCTTTGTTTTTTGCTGAGCAAAATCATTAATACCGCGAAAATACCATATGATCAATTTCGTGAATAGCACTATGTTCTTTGCAGCCACATTATTGGGATTCTTAGTCTTATTCGCTTTTCTTCCGCTAATGCCTTTGGTTCTGGACATTATCATACCGTTGAATGAGACACGACCAAAACAGCAAGTGTTTAAACTTAACTACTTGGTAGACGGTGACGAATATTTCTATCCCATATACTTTCATTCAGTTTTGTCTTCAGTCCTTGCTGTGACCGTTATTGTCACCATAGATTCCATGTACATGATAATAACTCACCATGCCTGTGGATTATTCGCCATGTGCGGGTAAATGTAAGCGCTGTAATTTAAATGCACGACGTAGCACATTTCTTTAACCGAAATTATTGTTTGCTATAAAAATACACGCAACCTCACGTACGCAAAAATGGTTATAAAAATCCATAACTTAATTTCTTTGCACAATTCCTACTCACGCGTTATGATTAACCGAAATTATTTACATAATAAAAAATCACACACTGACTGCTACTTCTCGCGTATATAAAAGATAAAATTATTATTTCATTAGAATACTTCTAATCGACACAGGAATCAGCTTAAAGATGTGACACAAAATTTGGAAGGGAACAGTGATAACACTACAAAGGAGAAAGCCATATATCAACAGTTCAGGAACTGCGTGCTCATCCACAAAAGAGCAATACAGTTCGTTTTCATTAGATAATAACAAATTACAAGGAAAAGAGAAATAACAGTTTATGAAATATGACTAATACGTTTTATTCTTTTATTTCGAGGTTTTACGAGCACATCAATAATATCAACGAGCGAGCCTTCTTGATTCAAATCGGGATAAACATGATCGCTATCAGCCTGACTGCTGTTCAGGTATGAATAATTTTATAAATAACGGGAAACGTGTTTGAATCACGTGGTGCAGATTTGTTTCGCGAACTAGTCGAAATTTTCACTTACTGTATCGGTTTCATGCCCACCCACAGATTCTTATTCCCATTTAATATTGGTTTGTCTTAAAAATTCATTATTGCTCTTTCATTAGAGGACAGAAAATTTAAAGAGGTAATACCAAACATCGTCAACATTTGTGTTTCTTAGCTGGTTCTGAACCTAGATAACACCAGAGAAGCAATTAGAATTGGTGTTTTCCTCGTGGCACAGCAATTTCACTTGTTCTTCAACAGTCTGCCTGGTCAAAGTCTCCTGGATCACAGTTTTCAATTACTCGACGATTTGTATGCTCTCGATGTGTAGAAAGAAGAACATAGTTCTTACTAACTATACAAATCACGCGAATGTAACATTTTCCGAATATTGTGGCAGATACAGCTCCAATTGGTACCGGGCACCAGTGAGAATGCAACGAGTGATTTACATGATGCAAATAAGATCCGGCATACCGTGTACATTGACTGCAGGTGGATTATACGACATGAACATTGAAAACTTTGGAATGGTACGTATGTATATTCTGAGGTATATGGCCAAACTTTAATAAAACTTACATGAATGAATTATGCTTCGAAGTTTGACCAACTATATCAGAAACATCCTACACAGGCGATAATAGTATAAGTAACTATTGACAAATACGTTTCAAATTTAAGATTTTTAAATCCTGTATGTCGTATTTTACGATGCTGCTGTCATTGAGGGAATAAACCATAATGACTACAAGATAACATCCACAAATAATGATTTGGACTTCGATGTAAAAGTATGTTGTAAAAGAGTAAAATAAATTTGTAAATGTTTACATAAATCTAGTAGTGTTTGATTAAACTGAACATATATTCCGAACCGTTATTTCGCTAGGAACATACAAAATTAAACACCGTAATACTCAAAATTAGAAAAAATAACAGCACTAATCTTATTGCGTAACATGGTCTAAAAGGTTCTCAAAAATAATATAGTGCATCGATCCACTCTAATGTGACGACAGAATCGATAATAAATAATAAAATTGGTAAAATTAGCAAAGTTATAAATGGCGTGGTTTACCTGGTGATAACAGCTCAAAGTGCAATCTCTTTCGGCTGACAATCGATGAACACAGGTAAATCGAAGCACGTTTGCTACAGTTCTATCTCGTTTGCTTTCCCTGTTGGCTATCCCAGAACTTGGAACACTCCTTGTTATGCTTGATAAAGACCGATCACCATGCATCGAACTCGCAACAAAAGCGAGGCGTCTGCCGCATTGCGATTCCTGTGTTTAAAGCAAACAATCGGGTTAGTGTCGTACGGATCGAAAGTGTTAAGGACATAGTGGAGGGGTAAATAACTAACTAGAATAATAGGATCTGTCTCCCACTGAATCTGACAAGATGATTGATTTCGCCCCAACTAAAATGCAAGTCCGCGCACTGTGCTATCACTCGTTTCAAAGTTTCATGTATTTAATTTACCATACGTTCTTCATTCAATTATGGCTGTCACCATGCATAGACATATCAACTGGCAGGTATGTGTTACGTAATTTCCTGATACAGATAGATAAGAAAATTGCTCGCCTCCTTAAAAGAAGACTGTACCACGATGAATATTTAAGTTGGTCAATCGTAGACCTTCGCATCTCTAAAGAAATGTCCTTCCGTGCAGGGCGTAAAGCGATAGTATACTCGTGGATCTTGTACAGGATGCTTCTATAAAGACTCCTTTCGCAGGATCACACAACGCAGGTACAATTGAGTAACATTGTTTTCATTTACTTGTGGGCCGATGTACCTGGGGGAAATATTTAATAAACGCCGTATAATTGGTAAAGATTTAGATTTAAATTTAGAAGTGTTGAAGCAATCGATCTGAAAAGAATGTCTTTCCCAGGTAAGATTAATTTTTTTAATAGGGAGAGAGGAAACATTTTTTAACGATTTCTTGAGCCTGTAGACATGTATTTATAATTTCAATGTGTGCAAGAACAAAGTCAAAACACCATTTTACTATTATATTTACTATAACGTTTGGTCAGTATTTCAGAAGAACAAAAACTGTTATGTCACTTTAGGTGACATTCCACATTACAGATCGCTCAAGAAATTCTTGATTATAATAGGACAGTATCCACGCCAATCGAACTATAAACGGAATACTATATTCATCTCGTATATAACCACCATCGTAAGCCTGATGATACCAGTTGTGAGTGAAATAATATTAAAATATTCACGTTATCAGACGTATATCACATTATTTGATAACATAATGTTAATGAAATCGCATACACAAAACACCACGAAAGTGATAATTTTGAACTTGATAAACGTTCCGTTTGACAGATTATAGAATTCGTCACATCATTGCGCAATAATGACACTGATAGGGTACTGGAGGCTATACCACTTATAGTTACGATTTTCGTTACATTAATAAAATTGTCAAATCTTAACATCAACAGGAATAAGGTACTTAGTCGCTGTATTGTACGATACAATTTTCTGTACAAATCAATATCACAGAGATTGATGTTTTACAGTTCAGAAAGTTATATGACCTTGTGATAAGCGAGTGGGAGTCATTGAAGTTTAAGGATGAAGTAAAAACTTTGGACGAAATCACCAGAAAAGGAAGTAATATTGCATTTCTGTATAGAGGTGGGTACACTGTAATTCTTAGACACAAACACATCCATAATGTTTCATAAAACGTTGAAATCAATGAAATTCGAGAATCACATTATGCCGTTTACAGCCTCTTTATTGGGATCCTTGGTCTTATTTTCTTTTCTTCCACTGATGCCTCTGTTTCTGGACATCGTCCTACCTTTGAACGAAACACGACTAAAACAGCAATTGTTCAAGCTTAACTACTTGGTAGACGGTGACAAATATTTCTATCCCATATACTTTCATTCTATTTGGACCTCAGCCCTTGGTGTGGCCGTTATTGTCACCGTAGATTCCATGTACATGCTAATAACTCACCATGCCTGTGGATTGTTCGCCATGTGCGGGTAAATGTAAGCGTTGAAATTTAAATGCACCACGTAGCACATTTCTTTAATTGAAATTATTGATTGTTATTAAAATGCACGTAACTCTAGGTATGCGGAATGGATTATAAAAATGAATAACTCTAATTTTGTGCACAGTCCCTATTCACCCGTCATGGTTAACTGAAATTATTTACATATAAGATAAAAGTATTATTTCATTAGAATACTTCTAATCGACACAGGAATCAGATTAAAGAAATGACACAAAGCTTCGAAGAGAACAATGATAACACTACAAAGGAGAGAGCCCTGTATCAACAGTTCAAGAACTGCGCGCTCATTCACAAAAGAGCAATACAGTTCGTATTCTTTAAGTAACAAAAAATTACAATGAAAGACAAAGAACAGTTTATAGAATATGACTAATACGTTTTATTCTTTTATTTCGAGGTTTTACGAACTCATTAATGAGATAAACCAAAGAAGCTTTTTGCTACAGATCGGGCTGAACATGATCGGTATCAGCGTGACAGCTGTCCAAGTAAGAATAATTTTATGAATAACGAGAAACGTGTTTGAATCACGTGTTACAAAGTCGTTATGAGTCTGTATTATACCCAACACTGATTCTTTATCCCAGTTACTGTGGGTTTATCTTAAAAATTTCTATTGCTCTTTCATTGGAGAACAGAAACGAACCCGACTTTTGATAATTTAAAAAGGTAATACCGAATTTCACCAAGATTTTTGTTTCTCAGATGGTTATGAACCTAAATAACATCAGAGAAGCATTTAGGATTGGTGTTTTCCTCGGGTCACAGCAATTTCACCTGTTCTTCAACAGTCTGCCCGGTCAAAGTCTCGTGGATCACAGTTTACAATTACTCGACGATTTGTATGCTCTCGATGTGTAGAATGAAGAACATAGTTCTTAATAACTATACAAACCACGCGAATGTAACATTTTCCGAATCTTGTGACAGATACACCTCCAAATGGTATCAAGCGCCAGTGGGGATGCAACGAGTGATTTACATGATGCAAATAAGATCCGGCGTACCGTGCACATTGACTGCAGGTGGATTGTACGACATGAACATAGAAAACTTTGGAATGGTACGTAACAAGATAGCACGTGTAAAATGTTTCTGAGGTATATGGCCAAACTTTAATGAAACTTGAATGAATTCTAAATTTGATCAAATATATCAGAAACATCCCACACAGGCTATGATAGTATAAGTAATTGACGAATGCGTTTCAATTTTAAGATTTTTAAATCCTGTATGTCGTATTTTACGATGCTGCTGTCGTTGAGGGACTGAATCATCGTGACTACTAGAAAACGTCAATAAGTAACGATGTAGACTTCGCTGTAAAAGTATATTATAAATTTAGTAAAAAATAAATTAAATTGTCAATCTTTACATTCCTGTATTAGTGTTTGGTTACACCGAACGTTCATTTCGAACCGTTATTTCGCTGGGAACAATTAAACACCGTAATACTCAAAATTAGAAAAATTCTAAGCACAAATCTTATTGCGTAACATCATTTAAAAGATTCTCGAAAATGGTATAGTACATGGATCAATTCTGATATGACAATAGAATTGACAATAAATGATAGAATTGATAAAATTAGCAAAGTTATAAAATGGCGAGGTTTACCTGGCGATAACTGCTCGAAGTGCAATTTCTTTTGGCTGACAATCGGTGAACGCAGGTAAATCGAAGCACGTTTGCTACAGTTCTATCTCGTTTGCTTTCCCTGTTGGCTATCCCAGAACTTGGAACACTCCTTGTCATGCTTGATAAAGTCCGATCACCATGCATCGAACTCGCAACAAAAGCGAGGCGTCTGCCGCATTGCGATTCCTGTGTTTAAAGCAAACAATCGGGTTAGTGTCGTACGGATCGAAAGGGTTAAGAACGTACTGGAGGGGTAAATAACTAACTAGAATAATAGGATCTGTCTCCCACTGAATCTGACAAGATGATTGATTTCGCCCCAACTAAAATGCAAGTCCGCGCACTGTGCTATCACTCGTTTCAAAGTTTCATGTATTTAATTTACCATACGTTCTTCATTCAATTATGGCTGTCACCATGCATAGACATATCAACTGGCAGGTATGTGTTACGTAATTTCCTGATACAGATAGGTAAGAAAATTGCACGCCTCCTTAAAAGAAGACTGTTCCACGATAAATATTTAAGTTGGTCAATCGTAGACCTTCGCATCTCTAAAGAAATGTCCTTTCGTGCAAGGCGTAAAGCGATAGTTCTCTCGTGGATCTTGTACAGAATGGTTCTATAAAGATTCATTGGTACATTCAAAGGTAAACGAACAATCAAAGTATCGAAAGAATTAATCTCGAGAGAATATCTTTCGCAAGTAAGAGTTATCACATTTTAACAGGAACATGGATCATTTCTGAAACTACTATTCTGATATATTTTTATTATCTGTATATCACTGATCTATGTTTATCGAACGTTTAGTGCTTCATTATCGCGGAAGAGAAGATGGCAGTGTATTTGACATTCCTTATTACAAAGTTCTCAGAAAGTATTTAACACTTACGGGGTCGTATCCATCCGAAGCGAACCTGAAAAATAAAATCAAAGTTATTGCGTGGATATGCACGATCATTACATTGATAATGCCTACGGTAAGTGGAACACACGGATTCGTAATGTTTGTTATTAATTGGAAAAACTGGCAACTTCTGAATATCAAAGTATGTAATCTTAAACAATCGAATTATGCAATTGTGTAGATATTTCAAATGT